TTGCTACAAAGAAATACTGATAGTTTTGTGAGTTTATTTTATTTTACTTTATATTTTATTTTGTACATTGTGGAAGCTATTAATAGATAAAGGTAATGTCTTTGCTGATTCTTTAAGTTTTCTAAAGAAAGCATCATGTCATTTGAGGATGGGAATAATGTTTTTTATCCACTTCGCTGATGGTTATACCTTTGACTTCTTTCTCCTGTCTTACAAATATGGATCCTTATCCTAAAGTTCTATTTAAAAAAACAAACAAGCAAACAAATAAACACAATTAGGGACCCTGCTTTATTCTGTTACTTGTTGAGAAATATCCAAGGATTTTAGACACATTATCTCATTTGAGCTTCATAATCCCAGGAGGTAGGTATATAATATATTATCTCCTTCTTATAAATGAGGACAGTGAGGTTTTGGGTGATTAATTGATTTGGTCTGGAAATAGTGATAAAATTTTAGTCAGTATTACTACTGCTTCTTCAAAAGACTTCCCATACAGCTAGTAAACATAAGAGGCAGGATTAGAATCCATGTGTTCTCAATGGTAAATCCAGAACTCTACCCACTGTTCAATACTCCTTTCCGAAGGATTAACACATTGTTGTCTACCCATCATCCAGATGGAACAAAGCTTATTCTCACTCTCAGGAAGCTTGACTCATTGCCTTAGCTTTGAGCTGACAGTTCAACCTATTTCTCCAGTATTTTCCCGTATTTAAAGGGAGATATGGACTGAACATAACATCCATTTGAGTTTCATGAAATGAAAAATTTAACATTTCCAGCTGGCAAAGATCGATACATTTCACATTAGACTCTTTGGGAGTGTTTCATGCATATGCTCCCTGACACTTGTTAAAAAAAAAAATCTTCAGTTTTGGAGAGAGATTCTGCCTGAGGCATCCAATAATCTTAATTTCTTTATCATGTAGACATCCGAGCAAATGTTTGTACATTACCTGTGTGGTTTATTTTTATTCAGAGGATGGTTCAGGAGCTCTTACTGTGAAATTGGGCTGTTAATTATGCCAGCACAAAGGGGAGCACAGGCCCCTCCAGATTGTGTGTATCTCTAGTTAAGAAATGGGAGGATTTGGGAATTGGTGCAAAGATGTTTTTAGTTAGATATGTTTTTTATTTATTACTACAATTTAATATTTTCATCTCCAACATTGTTATTGGACGATGGTAAAAATGCTTGTGATGTGGGGAAGGCACCTAAGCCCCAGTTATCCTGTGGCTGTCTGCTAGATGCCCTTTACCTCCTCCCCCCCCTGGAATCTCCAGTAGCTAGAACATGGTTGATCAGGTGTTTGCAGGGGCTTCTAGCATGCCTATCCTGTGAGCTCCTGGAGCTGTTGCTTTTCCTCCTGTTATTCCATTTGAGTTATGTGTGTCCTTGTTTCTCACATCACCTTTTGCCATGAAATCTACTCTACTTCTTGTGGAAATCAGTCACTGGTGTGCACCAGGCATTAGGTTAGGCCCTGGGGATACAAAACCAAAAATGAACCAGACGCTGCCCTCATGGAGCTTATGTTTTATCAGAGGAAACAACACGTAAATACCTGATTCTATACAGATACATAGCTAACTGGGACTGTCAGGAAAGGCCTCTTGTAGAAAGCAACACCTGAGATGACTTTGATTGAAATGAGGGATTTAAAGCAGTGGATGCTACAGTGTTCTCTCTCAAAGCCTTGGAAAGGGCATAGAATGCTTCCTAGATTAAACAATGTTAGAACTTGGAGTAAATTTAGAGATAATCTCTTCCAATCCCCTCTTTTGTCCAAAATAGAAACAAAAATGAGGCCCAAAGATTCAGTGACTTACCAAAGGCCACACCATGAATAAATGGTGTCCTTGACTTTGACTACAAGCCTTCTGGGGCCTGGTCAAGTAATCATTTTAGGCTAGTCCAAAGGATGGTATGGAATAGTGGGTAGGGCATTGGTCTTTGGGTCTGGAAGAGCTGGCTTCAAATCCATTCCTAGTTACTGTCTCTTTTCCCCGAGCGAGTCTCCTAAGCTATCTGTGCCTTAGTTTCCTTGACGAAAAAATAAAAGAATGGAACCCAGTCATCTCCAAGGTATTGTTCAATTCTAATGTAGGTTCCTATAACCTTTCTCCTGCACCTAAGAACTTGTGATGGAGTTGATCACCTCTCTTGACTTCTCAGCTAGAGAAAGAGAAGCAGAAAGGACTCTTAGTCCTTTCTGGAGGTAGAAGAGAAAGTCACCAAGAATTTATTAAGCTCCTACTATGTGCCAAACAATGTGCTAAGTCCTGGAAATTCAAAGAAAGGCCAAAAAAAAAACAAAAAAAGGAAAGAAAAAAAAAAGTAGCTCCTGCCCTGATAGAGCTTAAGATCTAGTGGGAAAGACAATAAGTCAACAGCTATGAACAAACAAGAGATGGATAGATAGATGGATGTATGGATGGTTGGTGGATAGATAGAGACAGAAAGCAGACAGGTATATATAAAGAGAGAGATGATAAACTAGAGATAATCTCAGAAGGAAGATGCTAGATGAAAGGGAGGCCAAGAAAGTGTTTTTTTTGTTTTGTTTTGTTTTTTAAGACTCTAGTTGAGACTTGGAGGAAGCCAAGAGATACAGATAAGGAGAAAAACAGTTCCTGGCATGAAGGACTAGATAACTACCTATGTATGAAGGAGGGGGAGACCAATGAGTGGAGGATAACCCCTAGGTTTTGAGTTTAGTGAATAGAGGATGATTTTGTGCTCTACAGTAATTGGGAAGTTAGGAAGAGAGGAAAGTTGGGGGGAAAGATCATGTATTTAGTTTTAGACATGTTGAGTTGAAGCTATCTGTGGGACATCTAGTTTGAGAGGTCCACAAGGCACAGAAAGGAGAAATTAGTAAGAACACAAAAGCCTTCCCAACTTGACAAGGTTTCCCATGGTCAAGTATCCTCTGCATTTCCAGATGTGTGTGTGTATGTATATGTATATGTGTGTGGATATATGTATATGTACATATATACATCCATGCATAAACACAGATACACACATTTAAGTAAGTATAAAGAGAACCTTCCAAATATTCAAGGTCTTTACCTTCCTGGTGAATTGATGTATTTACTCTTCAAGTATCTCCTTGTTGACTAGTTTTTCCCATCCACTCATAGGATTGCAGCTAAGAGTTTCAGACGGCATATGGTCCAACCAATGTCCTTATCGGCAACTGCGTGGTTCAGTGAATAGAGTGTTGAACTTAAAGTCAAGAAGACCTGAATTCAAATCCTTCCTCAGACACTTAGTTGTATCACTAAAAGAAAAATCAATTAACCTCAGTCAGCCTCAGTTTTCTCATCTTTAAAATAGGAATAATAATAGCATTTGCTTCACATGTTTGTTTTGAAGATCAAGCAAGATAATATATGTAAAGTGTTTTTGCAAAACTTAAAGTGCTATAAATGTTAGCTCTTATTATTTTACAGAGAAGGAAACTGAGGCCCAAAGCAGGCACTTACTTCAGGTGGTTGGAGCAGGTAGTGTCAGAGCTAGGAGGTGGATGTCAATCCTCTAACTAAAGCCATTGCTCTCTCAATTGAGCCACCATTGTCTGCCGGTCGCTTATTGAGACAGAGCAGTGAAAAGCTTAAGTTCTGAAAGTCAGCATCGAAATCGTTAGAAGAGAATGTGAGCATGCTTAAAAAACAATACCATACAAGTTTCTGGTTTCCTCTATTATCCCCTTTAGTTTTTGCATATTGAAATGTTTGTGTTTATTGGTGATTATGTAAAGAATAAAATCTTTTGAAGGTGAAGAGAATGATAACAAGTATCAGAGATAAGGGAAGCCTTATTTAGGAAGTAGCATCTTAGCTGAGCCTCGAAAGACAGATTCTATGGCTTCTAAACAGTAAAGATAAGTAGGAAGAGCATTGCTGGCAGGGGCCATAGCTTATGCAAAAGAAAGAAGATGGAGCATGAATTACTAACATCTGGGAGCTGCTATTAGGGCAATTTGGCTAGAATCACTTCCAAAAAAGGGGGGCGGAATAAATAAATAAACCTAGTAGTTTCCATGTTTGGATTCCAATGAGTACTTTTAGAAGCAGTAACCAATATACCTTGGTGTTTATTCTGACTCTGCTTTGTGTTGTGGCGTCAACACCAGTGACCGCAGCAAAGTCATGGCGTGAGTGTGTGTCCTGCAGCACTTGTGTTCAGTTGTATGCTTTGGGTGAGGCTGTTGCACATAGAAAGGCTGCTGCCCCATCTCTGCTTCTTCCCACTCCCACGTCTATATCTGCCCTCCCCCCACCCTGTTCTCTTCTAACCCTTAGAGCCCCAAAGAAATGGGACCTGCTCCTCTTCATGGTCATAAAGCGCAGTAAACATAATGATAAAGAGTAGCTTCAGGGTCAGGGAGCTCCACCTCTGAAGACCTGTTGGCTGTGTGACCCTGGACAGCTCCCTCAGGCTCCAAGTGTCCAGGAAAGTACTGAACTAGCTGCATTGGCTGAAGGAGATCTTGAGACCCATAGGTCCAGTCACAACAACAGTAACAAGACCAAACCTCTAGATAGCACTTTCAAGTTGGTCAAATGTTTTATACACATCATCCCTTTCAAGCTTCACAATGGCACTTCAAGGTTGGTGCTCCTGGCATTATTTTTCCCATTGCACAGAAGAAGAAATTGAGGCTCAGAGAGAAGTAACCTATCTAGGATCACAGAACTAGTGAGAGTCAGAGGTTGGGTTTAACCCAAGTCTTCCTGATGGCCAAATTCAGTGCCTAATTTACTCTGTTGAGTCTTCGTGATGTGAGGTTGGATTGGATGCAGCCCCAAGTATGCTCTGTAACTTTTCCCTTAATCCCCCACTCAGTAAACACCCTTTCATGGTGCCACTTTCCACTATACCCTCTAGAAAAGCATGGAGAAAATGGTGGCCAAAGCCCAGCAAGGGAGTCGCAAAGCCAGCAGTGACTGTGGCTAACCCAGCTGTATTTTTTGTTCCTCTGCAGAACACCCTGGAGCAATGCAACGTGTGTGCCAAGCCCATCATGGAGCGGATCCTGCGTGCCACAGGGAAGGCATATCATCCTCACTGCTTTACCTGTGTCATGTGTCGCCGTAGCTTGGATGGGATCCCATTCACTGTGGATGCCAGTGGCCACATCCACTGCATTGAGGATTTCCACAAGTAAGATTCCCACTCTCACCCTTTCCCCTGTGGGCTTGCCCTTTTTCCTCCTATTTTCCTCCCTTCCCTGTGGATTCTACCTTCCTTCTACTCCTCAAGTAAAGAAAGGCTTTTCTGTAATGAACCTCTGCTGGCAATTAGAGGAGAGTTGGCCACTATGAAATGGGTTATGGGACAGAAGGTCGAAAAATGAATCTCGAAGGTATCTCTCCTGCTGTTATTCACTTAGCTCACATAGTACCCTTTATTCCAAGATAGTCAAAGCGTACATTGTTTCAGTAATTCAAGTGTCAAACAATTAATAATTATTTATTAAGCAACCACTATGCCAGGCACTGTGCTAGGGATTGGGGACACACATCCAAAGAATGAAATCATCCCTGTTTGCAGGATCATTACATTTTAACGGGAGAGGCAAGTACATATGCAAATATGTAGATAGTCCAAGTATTAATTTAAATAATAAATGTGTATGTATACAAACACAGACGTACTCACAAATACATGAAGTAGTTAAAACAACTTACTGTGGGAGAGAGGGCACTTGCACACAAGAACTGGACTTCATATCAATAAGAACAAACCCACATGTAAATATATATATATATATATATACACACAGAAATAGGCAATTCCATGATTTCCCTTGTGAGCTTACTCCCTCCAGTAGTGCAGGTGGCAGCCCTTCTGCATTGTAAACAGTAGCATTCAAGAAACTCAGAGAGATGTTCAGGGTCATACCACTAAGGTGGAACTTGAACTCAGGTCTTCCTGACACTCTATTTACCACCACTATCCACCAAACAGAGAGATACAGAGGCAGAGAGAGAGGGACAGAGACAGAGAGAGACACAGAGAGATCAATTTAAGACCAGCCTTCTCAACGAATGACATCTGAACCTAACTGAGGAATACACAGCCTGTCCCTGGGGGGGAGGTTCATAAAGCTTTTTGTACTTGGGATGACCTGCTAGAATTTTTGGTTCGCAGGCACAACCCCTGGGAACCTTGGTTCACTTCCTTGGTGCCTCCTCTAAAGTATGACAAGAGTGGAGTCATAAATTCACATCACTTTAAATTTTGATCTGAAAGCTGAAAATGCCAAATTTTTATGGGGAACATTTGCATTTTCAGTCGTGAGTTTCGATGGTAGCAGTGTGCTTTGGGTTCTACCGAAAGACTGAAAATACTGTTAATTTGCAGCTTGGAAGGACTTTTGAGATCATGAAGTGTGACCAGAGAGATGAAATGGTTTCCTTGAAGCATTTATGCTAAGCGCATTATAGATGTAGCCCTGGAAGGGATAGCTTATTCCTTCTGGTCCAGCTCATTTTACGGAGACCTAGGGAGGTAGAGGACCTATCCAAGGTCACATAGAAAGAAGATGTCAGAGGCAGGATTTGGAATGACTCATGACCAGGACTGTGGATAGAGCTAGGAACAGTTAATGACAGTTGAAGAAAGATGGAGAAAGTAGGTGAGGAAGAGGATGGCAGAAGGAGGAGAGAAAAGAAGATCATTTAGGAGCCACTGTGCTAAATCCTAAGAATACAAAAAGGAACAAGGCAGGCAGACCCTGCCCTCAGTAGAAGGCAGATAGCTCCAAGAAAGGAGCTCAAAAGGGGGAGGAGGGAAGTGATAAGAGTCCTGAGTGAAAGGACTCATGGCTAGGGCCCCTGCCCAAAAATATTCCAAACAGTCAAATCACCAGTCAGGAAAGTGGAGATTTAGCCCCCAAATAGGGAAAGATTTAGCCCATAGTAGAGCAGATGGCTTTGGGAGGTAGGGAGTTTTCTCTCATGAGTTTGTAAGTAAATGCTTGAGTAGACAGCCACCTGTCAGATATATTGTAACCAGGAGTCTTACTCAGGTATAAGTTGAACTCTCTTCTCTTATGAGGTTGGAGGTCCCTTACTTCCTTAGACTTTCTTAGAATCCCATAAGCCTTCTCTCCTTCCTTTTGCTGAAAAAGAAAGTCAGGGCACAGAGCTTAAGAGACATGCCTGAGTTCATGCAGAAGATGAATGGCAGAGAGGGTCAAACTCAGCTTTCCTCTTCCAGAATCATCTGTTGTTTTGACTCAGTCTTCCAAGAGGGATTCCCAAAGAGCTGAGTATACCAGAGGTGACCTCTTTGGTGCTGTGAAGTACAGACCTGTACTGTTGATGACACCTTCTCCTGGGCAAAACTGAGTAGCTCCATTGGCAAACAAGGAATCTGGGCCACTGGTCACTGGTTTCCCGAAGAGATTTCTGACCAGAAACTCCAGCAGAGGGCAGAGTCCGAGGTTATTGAGCCCCTAAGGCAAAAAGAATTTTCAATCTAAATCAGAAAAGGAAGGGCTCCCTTTTAAAGGGCAGTCATGGCATAAATTATATTTCAAGTTATTGATATTTTTGGCTTGTAATTGCACATAAAAAAAACCACTTGCATCTGTTTCAAGGAAGTTGAAATCCACCTCTGGAGTCTGTTCTTGTCTCTATTTTGCTCCTTTCTCAGACCTGTCCTAATCCAAGAAAGACAGAGAGATCTAATCAGAGCACAAATATTTCTGTTGCTTGAATAGACATATATTACACCCCTCAATTAAAACAGGAAATCAATACTGACAAATGTAGGCTGATGTCTGACACATTTATCTTTCATTTCTAAGGGCGGGGAAACATAATTAGAGACTTGTGACTAGTGACATAAGTGTGTAAGTCTGAGAGTGCCAAGATTGACTTGAGCAACCAAGGAAAGCTTCCAAGGCCCCAGCTGTGACCCCCCTCCCCCCACACACCCATCCTGACCACCGGCAGCTCAGAGTTGTGTTCAAGCATGACTGAATGATGTGTTTCATGGTACCACCACTTGGGTACCCAGCCAAGGGGCTGGGGGCAGGTTGTGTTTGGATCACCTCCCTTCCAGCTTCTCCAGAAGCCAGAGCATTCTGTGTGGGAACCCTGCCAAGTGCTCTAACATAAGAAGGGCAAAAGACTGCCCTCCCCCCCAGCCCCAAGGGCCAAATGAGAATCTCAGAATGTGAGGGAGAGGAGGGACCTTAGGAGTCATCTGGTCTAACTGTCTCCTTCTTCCTGATGAGCTCCCAGAGAAGGGATGGGACTTCTTAACAAGACGTAAGCTTCTGAGGGCAGATCTGACTCCGTTTTTATCTGTGGATATTCCCAGCCCTTTGAACAGCTTCAGGCATAAAGGAGAACTTCAGCAAATGATTGTGGGACCAACCATGCTTTAAGAAACTGCAAATGCCATCTTCTAGGGCATCTGTTTCCTCCAGGTGGGTCCTATGATATTGGGGAGGAAATGTGCCTGAACCTCTCTGCTGTCTTCCAGAGAAGCTGCTTACATCTCACTGAGATGCACCTCATCCCCTTCTCCTGCCTCCTCATGAGAAAGTTCTCTGCCCTCTTTGTCACCCCTTTGGGCACTCTGACCAAACTTGGCCTGTTTTCTACATTATATCAGTCAGTCTGTCAGCAAATATTGGCTAAGCCCTTACTATGTGCCAGGTGCTATACTAAGGGCTGGGAATATGAAGAAAAGCCCAAAACAGTCCCTGCCCTTGAGAAGCCATCATACAAACAACTATGTACAGAGCAAATATCGACAGAATAAATAGGAGACAAGCAGCAGAGATGAGACACTAGCATTAGGAGGGGTTGGGGAAAGCTTCCTGTGGAAAGCAGGATTTCAGCTGAGACTCAGAGAAAGCCAGGAGGTGCATATGGCGAGGGAGAACATTCAAGGCCTGGGGAACAGCCGGAGAAGATGCCCTGAGCTGAGAGGTGGAAGAACAGCAAGAAGACAAGTAACCCTGAATTAAAGAGCACTTGGGGGAATAGAAGGTGCAAGAGGAGAAGAACAGTAGGAAATGGAGGCTGTGAAGGATGTTGAACACCAAACAGAAGATGTGCTATTTGAGCTTGGAGGTGAGAGGGAACCATTGGAGTTCATTGAGCAGGGGACAGACAAGATCAGACCTGCGCTTTAGGAAAATCCCTTTGGTGGCTGTGTGGAGGTTGGTTTGGTGTGGGGGGAAACTTATGTCAGGGAGACCATCCAGCGGCTATCGCCATAGTCCAGATGTGAGGTGAGGAGGACTCACACCAGGGTGGCAAAATTCTCAAAGGAAAGAAGGGAGAGTATCTGAGAGATGCTACCAAGGTCAACTTGATAGGCCTTCGCCTGCCAGGTATGGGGAATGAGAGTGATTGAGGACTCCAGGGTGATGCCTGGGCTATGACCCTGGGGGAATGGGAGGATGTAATGTCCTCAACAGCGATAAGGATGCTTGAAAAGGGGGAGTGCTTGCAGGGAGGGACAGGAAAGAAATAAACATTTATTTAATGCTTACTACATTGCAAGCACTAAGCGCTTTACAAATATTTTCTCATTTGAGCTTTATAACAACCCTGTGAATTGGTACTGTAGTTATCCCTATTTTACAGATGAGGAAACTGAGGCAAACAGATTAACCGATTTGCCCAGGGTCTCACAGCTAGTGAGTGTCTGAGACTGGATTTCAATTCAGGCCTTCCTGACTCCAGGCCTAGCCCTTTATCGACTGTGGCACCTAGCTACCTCTGCTCGGACAGAAGCATAATGAATTTTTGGAATATACTGAGATCAGTGTTTAGAGTTTCTGAACACTTTCTAATCTTATCTTTAAATGGTTCTGACAGCAGGCCTTCCCTTGGGGGACCTTTCTGTTTTCATTATGTATTTTCTTTCTGGGTTCTTGTCTTGGATTCTCCTTCCAGTGATTTTTCTTAGCTGGATTTAACCTTACAAACTCCTTCTATCCATTATCTCTCCTTTTGTGACTTCAAGGATTTTACCCCCTTTCTTTCCTCAACATTGGATGTTCCTACATAAGGTCCAAGGCAAACACTTAAACCTGGAGAGATGTCTCAGACCAGCTTGGTGCAATGGAAGTAGTTCTGAAATTACTTAGGGGACCAAGGTTGGAGTATGAGCTCTCCTTGCGTCACCCTGGCCAAGTGACTTTTGTGAGCCTTGAGTCCCCCATTTACAAAATGAGGCCATTAGACTAGTTGGCCTCCAAGTTCACTTTGAGCCCTAGTATTGTCTTCTCCTACATGCAGGAGCTTGGCCAAGGCAATGACCTGCTCTGCAGCTCTCTTTATTCCTCTATAAAATGAAGGAATCATAGTAGATGACTTTCAGGCTCCGTTCAAACTATAAATCTGATTCCAAAACCCGCTTTTCAAAGCTAAATGCATTTGTAGCCATGAATTGTAACCCCAGAGTTTCTCTGAGAATAGCTACCTCTAACATATTAAAACAACAAGAAGCAAATTTCCAGGTAGATAGATAGATTTTTTCGGGAGTATTAATGGAAGATTATGATTGAGTCATATTAAATTCCTACTATGTGCTGAGGGCTAGAGACATAAAGACAAAAAAAAATGTTTCTATCTTCAAGGAATTACATTCCCCTGGGTGTGGGAGGGAGGGGCATCTTGGGCATAAGTATGGTACAAGGAAAATAGAGGATGGCTAGATCAAAGGTTTCCCTTGGATCAAATGAGGTCATATTTCTAAACTGCTTAGCCCAGTGCCTGGCACATAATAGGTGCTTAATAAATGATATGGCCCCTGAATTGAGCTATAAAGGGGCTGAAGGATTCCTTACCTCTTGTCTAATATATTAGAGTGGGGATTCTTTCCCAGTTTGGGTTGTACTAGACTACCTCTGAGTTTGAATTCTTGGAGACCAAGGAAAGCAGGCAATGGATTTCAGACATGGATCACCTTGTCAAAAACAAAGGAGACAGGAGACTGAATGCTGACTTCTGGGCACAGCAAATAGACATTTGACTGGCACACATAGGGTATGAAGGGGAGTAATACAAAATATGTTTGAAAACAGAAAGTTGGAACAGGATTTTCAAGGACTTTAAATGCCAGACTGATGAGTAGGCATTTTGCCCCTAGAAATAATTCAAAGACATGGAAGATTTTTGAGTAAGGAAGTACTATGGTCCCACTCAATCTGTCAGAAGATTCCTATGGCTTTTTAATTGAGGGTGAATTGGAGACAGGAAAGATAGGATGAAGGGAGATCAACTAGCAGCTTATTTCAAGGGTCCATGTAAGAAATGATGGATGTCTGAATTAGGGCGTTGGCCACATGAGTCTGTAGAAGACAAATGGAAGACATAGGGTCATAAGTGTAGGGCAAATGATTTTTCCTCAAAGAAGTATGTAAACTTCTTGCATTCATCCTGCATTCTTTCAATTCTCACAACTCCTGAATTTGTACCCCAGGCTTTTATGGCTTCTTTTTAAGGCATCAATTGATCATTCCTGATGCCACTATTCGTGGTAGATTTCAGCACTACAGATGCCTTGTGTGCACTGCCAACCACATTCATGTGTGTATATGTTTATAGAATGTATGTGAAAGTGCTTTGAAAACGATTCACTGTGGTGCAAATGGAAGACGCCAGTATGGCTGTCAGTCTCACTACACACATATTTTTAATCCTGCTGATCCTGGGATGTTACACTGGAAAGCTGGGGAGCTGAGTTTAAGTTTTCCTGGAATTTCTTTGATCTCTTCAGTTCTCTTCCATGTGTATAAGAAGTCAAGAGTCATTCCCATCTGACTCAAGTCTTACCTGCCATACAGGACTCAATTAATTTCTGGAAAGAACAAGGCTTTTCTTCCTTGTCCTTATTATTATTTTTTTTAATAAAGTAAACTTCCTCATTAAGGCTTTCAAGTTGGTGAAAAATAACCCATTAACAGTAGAAGAAGCACAAGCATACTATACCCCACTGGTTGTACTTATGTTCCATAATAAATACCAACAGCTTTTCCTCTTCAATTTTTGAAAAGGCAAATTATCAGTTTGGAAACAAGATCAACACATCGAGGATCTAGGAGAGTCTGGAGTATGGTCATGAGGCATAGATTTGCTTATTCCTGGTTTCCTGTGTTCCATTAGACCAGTTATTCAAGTCTCTGTGCCTTTATTGCTGGGAGTTGAGAAATACCGGGCAATGGCCATTGTGATTGGGTGAGATGTGGCAGGAGGCAAAGTGGTACTCCCCATGGATGTTCTTGGGTAAGACCTAAGGACATAGAGAACCAAGGAGCAGATCATGGAGGAACCCTAGCAGGTGGTGGCAAGGTTGGATGTTTGTTCTTCCTAGGGAAATATTCTGCTACCTGGTGAAGTAACCTAACTAATTAGTATTTCAATTCAACAAATGTCTATTAAAGCACCAGGTACTGCAGATGCAGAGACAAAGTTGAAACAACCCCATGACCTCAAGGAGACTGAATTCTGCTTAGGAGGAAATAGCACATACACCAATACATCAGTACAAATTATATACAAATAAATTCCAAGGAAGCCAGAGAGGTTGGAGGAGAGCACTGAGAACCACAGAGACCAAGAAGGGCTTCATGCCCTTCCTGAGCTCTGTTGGTACTTGAGATTAATCTTGATGGGAGTGTTCGAATCGAAGGTAGAAGTGAAGAAGAAAAATATTTCAGGCTTGGAGGAATGGATTATGCAAAGACTTGGAGGTCAAAGATGGAGTGTTGTACTTTGGAAACAGAAAGTAAGTTTATTTGCTTGGCCCGTAAAATGCATGAGGAAGGAAAGGGGAGATTGTATCCAGATTTTAAATATCTCTAAATGTCTAAGATACAGTTTTGAAAAAAAGTAAATTCTAGAGGCAAAATGGAACCACTGATACTTTGAGCATGGGGGTGACATGATCAGATATGTGCTTCAGGAATACCAACTTGTGAGCTATAGGGAAGATTGACTAGAGGTAGGGAAACTAACCAGGAGGCTCTTCTAAGAAGTCAGAAGAGGGGCAGCTAGGTGGCACACCAGCCCTGAAGTCATGAGGACCTGATTTCAAATCCGGCCTCAGATCAAACACTTGACACTTACTAGCTATGTGACCCTGGGGAAGTCACTTAACCCCAATTGCCTTTAAAAAAAAAAAGTCAGAAGAGAGTTCCTGAACTAGGTGGTGGCCATGCAGGGAGAGAAGGGCATGGAAGGGAGAAGCATTGTGGAGATAGAATCAACAAGACTTACCAACTGTTGGCTAATGGCTACTATTTGTGTAGTGCCTTGAGGATTGAAGCGGGCTTTCCGTATTCTCATTGATCCTCACAACACAGGAAGGACCCTTCGAGTTTTAACTGCCTTGATGATCTGGACTAGTAGGTTGGCTAATATATGGCAACCTCAATGCCAATTGATAATCACATTCTTATGACTGCTCTGCCTTGAGTAGGAATGTAGGGACTTCTTGCCACACTCCCTGGAGAATCAGTTAATCACCAAGTTTTGCAGTTGCCATCATTCAGATTAGTATTTTAGTCCAAGGCACCATTTCCAAAACTTTTTTGTTAGAATGTGAAAATGTAACATGAAGGCAGAAACACATTAACTCCTTCATGACTGTAAGGTCCTTGAGGACAGAACAGATATCATTTTTCATCCTTACCTCGGACAGATCTTTGTATAGTTGTTTTTTGGTTTTTCAGCTGTGTCCAGCCCTTTGTGACCCCATAGACCATACCATCCATGGTTTGCTTTTTGCTTTGTTTTGTTTTGGCAAAGATACTAGAGTGGTTTGCCATTTCCTTCTCTTCTTGCACACTGTAGCATCCAATAAATCATTGTTATATTGAATTGAATATTGTTGAGACCAGGGTCTTGTATACTGGAAGATGATCAAATCTTAATGGTCCTATGAACTATAACCAGGCTTCAGACTTGAGTCAAATGATTTTCCTCCATTCCCACATCTTTCTTTGCCTCTTCCCTGGAGCTCTCTGTGCAAACCTTCTAATGAAACTCACTTTCTTATTTTTTTTCAGGAAATTTGCCCCTCGATGCTCTGTGTGCAAGGAGCCAATCATGCCTGCCCCAGGCCAGGAGGAGACTGTCCGTATCGTGGCTTTGGATCGAGATTTCCATGTTCAGTGCTACCGATGTGAGGTTTGTAGTCTAGCCGGACCATGAGATCCTAAGTCCCACAAGTACAAAAACTTCAAAGTTAAAATGCATAGCTCTATGAGCCCTTAGCTCTGCCTGCAATGGTCCAGCTGCTCTCAGCAAGTCTAGTTTTCACAGGCACTGTTTTCTTTTTTTTTGGGGGGGTGGGCAAGGATGGGACTAGCCATACTGAGTCACAGAAATATATTGGTTAGGTGGAAGAGTCAGCTTGGTGGCAGAGTGGTAAAGTGTTGGAATTAGAGTCAAGAAGGAATGAATTGAAATCTTGAAACTTACTTCAGAATTTACTAGCTGTGAAACCCCAAGAAACTATTTCATTCTCTCTCAGCTTCAGTGTCCTTATCTGTAAAATGGGGTAATAGCATCTACTTCACACAGTTTTTGTGAGGATCAAGTGAGATAACTTATTTAAAGTTCTTTGAAAGCTAAAATACCATATCTAAGCATGCCAGCTCTGATTATGTTAAAGATTAATCAGAGACAACAGTAGAAGGTCCTGGGACTTTGAAAGTTGAATGACACATAGTCAGCTTTGTTTGTAATGATTCTAAATCATAGAATCACTGGAACTCAGAATAGATTCATGAGACCTCAGAGGTCATCCAATCCAACCTGTATGTGTTAAAGAATATAATAACTATAATAATAATAATAACATTTATAAAGAGAGAGGTTAAGGGACTCCTCTATAACACCCCCAAAATTATTATTATAAGTTCTATTTGAGTATTTCTAGTGACAGAGCTCACTACCTTCCAAGGTGCCCCATACTATTTAGGGACAGCCTTAATCAAAAGGAAGTGTTTCAGCCTAGAACTTTCTCAGCACACAAAGATCACACTTGAGGGGTTTCTTCTATATTTTCTTAAGGCATGGAGCCTCCCCTTGATTTAAACGCATATCACCCTTTCTATAATACCCCCCCCCCACCAATGGGACCAGGCAGAACCAATTGAATCCTGCCTCCATCCACAGGACAGACCTTTGTATGGGCAACACCTGGAGGTTTTGGTGGACACCATGTCCAGTATGAGGCAATGGTGAACCATGGCCAAAAGAGTTAATGCTATCTTGGGCCACCCTGAGAGGCAGAGCAACCAGAAAGAAGAAGGGAATTGTACTACCATACTCTGGCCTCATTACTCCTCAGCTGAATATTATATTCTCTTCTGGACACCGCAACTTGAGGAAAAAATAGACAAGTTGGAGACCTTCTAGGGGATGGCAACCAAGATGGTGAAGGGTCTTAAGTTCAACTGAAAAGATGCAGAATGTTTAACTAGGATAAGACTTGGAAGGGTTGGAGAGTGGAGGAGTTGACAAAGGACAGGACAACTCTGCAGGTATTTAAAGGATTGTCACATGGAAAAGGGCTGAAGCAACAACAATGGATTGGTGCTGCAAGCGGATAGATTTAGGCTTCTTGTCTAGGAAAAAAGCCCCAAACAAATCAGACTGTCCAATACGTCAATGCACCATTTCCACAATTTCTAGGTTTTCCCATATCATAAGCAAGAACTCAGCCCTTGTGAGGGTTTGCCCCCTTCAGGTAGGGATGTCACTTGCCTTATCTCAGTGAGGCCTCCCAATAGCCCTGCAGGAGAGGTGAGAGGCAGGTGCAGGTGTTATCCTCGCTTTCCAGAAGAAGGTACTGAGGCCAGAGAGGGAACACGGGTTTTTACCATGATACGTGAAAAAGCTGAGGCTGCCCATAATCCTCCCAGCCCCTCATCTGTGGTTTGGATGATCCTGGTGCAGACCCCAGGGACCATACCTCTTAACTGGAAGGGACCACAAATCCCTTTGCCTCTCCAAGTCTCAATTTCCTCCTGTGGAAAATGAGGAGTTGGAACTGGGTGACCTCTGAGGTCACCACCAGCTGGAAATCTGTTCTCTAGGATTTTTCTTCTCAACAATGCTGTCCCCAGCATTTCCTTCAAATCTCTTCTTCCCACACGTGTCAGCAGCATCATCTCTCTTTATTTGAAACTGGATTAAATGTAGAGAAATCTCACTCTTGCCAGATTCCCCTCTGCTCTTCTCTGCCTTGCCAGGAAAACGGTATCATCACAGGGAGATTCAGCTAATTTCCTTATGGGCTTTCTACTAGCTTAAACTGAATGCCATTCCCTGTCTTCTTCCAGGCAAGTCCTTCAACTGCAAGGAAGGGCAAAGACCTGGTGGTTGGAATCCAGTCCCTTGGGTTCCCCTCCTTCCCACTCCACGGCTGCCTGGGATAGTGAGTTATGCTATTCTTATAGATGCTGCTTCCTGGTGAACTGGACAGAAATCATTTTGCTGTCCAGTGTCTTTATCCCCTCATCTGTGAGCAGTCAGAATGTCATTGAGGAGGCAGTGGGAAGGGTGTGATGAATGGGACTGTGAACATCTGATCAGCAATCTTACCTTTCTCTACTTTAATTTGCACAGAGTAACTAGCCGACATGGTCTCATCCATCTTCATAAGATAGTAGTCAATATTCTTATATGTCTTTAAGTAAAGTTTTCAAGTTGATGTACAGATATTAGCTCATTGGAGCCTCTCTACCATCCTGTGAGATAGGTGTGATTAAGGCACCGCATTTTAGAGAAGAAAAAATTGAGGCTCAGAAAAAAACAAAAACTCGCCAAGAGTCGACAGTGTTTTCAGTGGGAATGAAACTCAGGCCTTTTTAACAGCCAGTACCCCACTCTCTCATTACCTTCTTCCTCTCTGACCATTATAAAGTCAGGGGCCAGAATTGCCGAAGTTCTAACTAGGGGAGAGTGACTGGAACTTCTCCCCTGTGCTCCAAAGTTTAGAGGATGCTAGAAGCGTGTTCACTCTTTTAGAAGTGCAGAAACAACTGAAGTTAGCACCTTGTTAGCAAGAATAATTAGTTAAAATAAGATGCTGCATGATAGCATTCTTCCTTCTCTTTGAAGCCTTGCTTCCGTTGAGCTCCTTTGCCCCAGCCTGAATCTCCACTCCTCCCTCATCCTTCACAACTGTTTGTTTGAAAAAAATCAATGTGACCCCCCCCCTTTTTTTCTTTTTGCTGTTTATCTTAGGTATCATCATCATCTTCTTTATTCTCATCACTGGGATTGGTTTAGTGCCCAAACATATGCAAAGTGTTTGGAGTGTATTATCTAAGTACCAGAATTTCTGCCTATGGATCCACCTCCAACCAGACCAGAGGACACTAAAGGGACTGCCTGTCTATCTATAGGCCAGGGTCTTCACAAGACCTCAGAAACTTGGCCTTGAATGGTCCCTCCGTGGCCATCCAGCCCGGCCGATGCTGGTCCTGTTTATTGGGAAGCCCCAGTGCACTCAGGCCAGAGATGTCCTCTCCCTTTCTAGAAGCAGCTAGATGGCACAGTGAATTGGGCTCTGGGCCTGTAGTCAGAAAGACCTATGTTCAAATCTAGCCTCATACATTTACTAGTTGTATGACCCTGGGTAACTCATATAATCTCTGCCTGCCTCAATTTCCTCAATTGTAAAATGGAGATAATGACAGCACCTACCTCTCGGGGTTGTTGCAAGGATAAAATAATATATCTACCAAAGTGCTTTGCACATAGTAGGTGCTTAATAAATACTTATTTCCTTCCTTTGCCTCCCCTTCATTCTCTTATTCCTTGCTCCTTCCTGTGTTGTTTTCTCTTAGGATTGTGGTGGCCTGCTGTCTGAAGGAGACAATCAGGGCTGCTACCCGTTGGATGGACACATCCTCTGTAAGACCTGCAACTCAGCCCGCATCCGCGTCCTGACTGCCAAGGCCAGCACTGACCTCTGAGAATTGCTGATGCCCATTGGATCTGATTGGGGGAGGGGTTAGGGAAGGAAGGGCGGGAAGAGGGCAGGGGTTGGGGGCATGTCTCGGAGGGTTCACTTTGCAGTTGAGCATGGCCCCATTGTAGGGGTGGAAAGGGCAGGAAATGAGAGGAGCGGCCACCTTTGCCCGTGGGCTTCTTTGTTGACCTTCTTTTTCCTATCCCCCTCTCCTGGGAAGCACACTGAATCAGCCTGCTTGTTGGTAGATCTCACCAGAAGCACAACACAACCCAGGTCACAAGGTCGGATGCTGGCTGACCTTTCTGTGCAAGGACTTCACTCAAGCACGTGGATGCTTCTCATCCAACCCTTTCACTTTTTCATTCCTGTAACTTTTCATTCTAGCATTTGCCTGACTCGCCTTCTGGTCGAACAGCTTTTTATAGCCTAGTATTTTCCTGTTGCAGAGGATTTATTCATTGGGGATGCCAGCTTCTAGGATCTCGAGTATGAATGCACCAGTCCCTTGAGAAAGGGTGCTGGCTTCTTGGAGTTGGTGCTCACCAAGGCTAGACACTCTGTTTATTTATATAGGAAATGATGTCTTTGTGTTTTACTAGAACGCTAAAACCAATTATGTGCCTTGAAAAAAATCACAAATGATTTTTCACTAGAGTACAAGGAATGTAACTAATATATTACATAGTCAAAGTCTGGTTTGGATATGACCTCTGGCATTCATCAGGCTAAAGCTGTAGTGGTCATTGGCTAGGCTGTTTTAAATGTCCAGATAGCAAGTCCAGCTGGCCCAGCACTGCCTGGGTTTTCTCACAGATTTTCACTGGTTGATAGATGTCTCAAGGGAATTGACATGGATTCCCCGATTTCCCAAATCAAATTGAGCATCTCGCTGCAAAATGGAGACAGGAGACCCAAGGGGCTTTCAGATAGTTTGAGCTAGGCTTGTGTTATGCCTTAGCATTCTTTTTTTTTCCCCAATTAGGACAGTCCTGTTTATCCACAATTCCCTGTCCAAGACAGCCTAGGGGAATTTGACTCTTCCCACACTGAACCTTTCATCTAGAAAAATGCCACCATTTCCCCTCCCCCACAACCATCTGCAATGAACAGCATCAGCCTCCTCTCAAGGCTGCAAGGCATATTCTGGCATCCTAACCTTGCTCTGATGATTGCAAACCAGGACTCCAAATGGTTGTCAAATGTTGGTTGATCAATTCCAAAAAGAAAAGAAGGAGCAAGAGAGAGCATTAACTTTCTATGAGGGTAGTCTTAGCTTTCATTAAAAACTAATTTTTATCCAGTGGTTGAAGCATTTCTTTTTCAGGTGCCAAGGAAGTCGCTGAAAGAAAAAAAAATTAAAATGCATAAAATATATAAGATTAAAAAATGGATGTATTTATATATATATATATATATATATATATACACATATGTATGTATGTATTTTATTTTCTTATATAAGAACCAAAGGAATTAACCCCATAGTACTTGCTCCAGCAAATCCCCATTGGCTAAAGACAATTTGATTTTTATTTGGAAAAGAACACGTTGGGACTTGAAATGTTTCAGTCAAGGGCAGAGCCATGGCTTTTCAGTGGCTTGGACAAAGGGCAGATTTGGTGTGTGGGTCATACAGTCTGGTATTCATCCAGTGCCACAGAGGTAGCTTGTCATGGTCTTTTTGTGGGATGTTTCCTGACACACATCAACCCCTGGTGTCTCACTTTCAATCTTAAAGAGTTTACTGTGACCCTGAGATGTTTGAATCAGAGATTGGGAATTTCCCAGGGTCTCACTATGGGGTGTCGGAAGCAGGACTTTCTGAACCCAGATCATCTGCACTCCAAGGCTAACCCTCTACAGCCCCCTGGCTCTCTTCATAAGCATTACTTCTTTACAAACAAGCTCCATTTTCATGCTTTTTTTCCTCTTTGTCATATTTTAAGAAATTAGAAACAAAAATTCTAAATTCTATCCTTAAGATCTGAAACTTTAAAAAGTAAATTTTTAAGGTCTATCCCTCCATGCTGAGAGATGAGTCCTACTACTTTTTCTGATTGTCATAGTTGGAATTCTCAACCCTGCCTCAAGAATGCTCAGTATTTTCTGCAAATGATTTCTATTCTAATGGGAACCTTCTGAAATCTGTGAGAATGGTCCATTTTTCAAGACCTTGCTTGTCAATGAGTCACTACAGCTTGTCTGAGTTAATTTTGAGTTTGCTTACTTGCTGGCATCATAATACAGGGTTCAAGGGGCCCCACCAGATATAGAGCTATCAATGGCCACTGTCTTCAACATGCCACCCCCTATACCTCAGTGCTCCATCCTCTGCTTCTTACAGCATGGACCTCACAGTTTGGGCAATAGGAACGCTGGTGGACTTTGACAACGTTAGGACAGCAGGTTGAGTTTGGAATACAGTGGCAATGAGCAAACTCTCAGGATTGAGCCTAATGGAAAGCTAGACTGCCTTCAGCACTGATTATTAGGAGATGGGGGGGTAATTAAGAGTTATATACTGGCATAGATTTCATAGCTTATTTTTCAGTCAGTATGTCAGTGGCAAGATATTCTCCCTAGATCAAAAAGCAAAGAGGCTGCCTCAGTGAGGAACGAGCTTTCTCTTTTGTGAGTGTCAAAGCTGACACTCCCCGCACCCATCCAGAGTCATAATTGTCCAAAGACAAAGTCTACGTGCATCTATTTATGCTAATTGGAAAGGGAGCAAGTGGATCCTGGCCATCTTCACCAGGTCCCACTAGAATTGAATGTTCCCACACTCATATGCAGGCCTTCTGAAAACAAGGTTGTCCTGGCCCCTAGCCCCACAGCATGACTCTTGGGTACCAGCACAGGACTGCTTTCTCACAATCTTTATAGTGTATTTATCACATAACCTCATATATCTTTGCCAAAGATTTTAAAAGTAAATCTGTTTTTAATATAGACTTTCTTAGACTTTTGTAATGATAAATGTGCACACTTCTCATGACACGGAAATATTTAGAGTTTGTGTGTGTGTGTATATGTGTGTGTTTCCTTTCACAAGAAATATTTCACGAGCAATATAAAGGATTTTAAATTAGCTTATTCCAGGTTTTTGTTCATTTTAGTTTGATTTTATTTTCCTTCTTTGTTTTTGACAGCAATTATTTCATATTATGAATGACAACTTCACTACCGTGGGTCTTTCTGATTGAATTGTGTGAAATTCTGCTTATATCACAATTTATAAAGATAATATAGCCTTATGGATAGGATTATATTCTATCTAAAAAAAAAAAGAATACTGTCCTTATTTACTTATAAATGCATAAACAAGGGAAGAGATAGATCATCCTAGATATTCTATGGACTAGAATGTTTAAGAAATATATTTGGTTTTAATCAGATCATGTTGTTATCATCGGGTAATATTTTGAAGCCTGGGAGACATGGAAAAATTAAAAAATGAAAAAAACCGTGATGCATTGTGTGCTATGCAGATGAAAATATTTTTATGAGAATTCTGAATTGTCTGAAGTCCCAGTACGTGCCCAGTGGATATGAGGACTCATCTGGTAGTGGGCCTCTCCTTCAACAGATAAAAGCCATTTGTACATTCCAACCTAAGACGAAGTACTGAGAACTCTGTTTCTCTGAAACACCAAGCTCTGGCTTTTTTCTTTTCTTTCCTATGTTATTAATGTGTTGTCATGGTATTTGTGTGTATGCTTGTGTGTGTGTTAGAGAAAGAGGGAGAGGAGCTGAATTAACCCAAATCAATCCCTTAAAGATAACTGCTATAAAGTTATTAACACTAGAAATATCTTCTAGCCAAGAAAGATGCTGCATATGATTTGTGGTTGACATTCAAAGTTTCTAGCTGAATTTTTTGTAATTCTCAAAGGATGAGGTGCAAGGTGAAGGCATTTACTTCAGGTGCCTGTAGGATGACAGTAAAGAAAGGAAGGAAGAATATAATGGAAACTTGGATAACAGAACTTCCTGACTGGCTCTGGGTTTCTTAGTTAGTCAAAATCCTATTAACCTGAACCTACAAGGAAAAGCAGTGTTCTTTCTTGGGAATACAGTGTAGTGATCTTGACTATGTCAGTTTCTGTGTCAATGGCCCCATCGTTCCTCCATTATCGAGTTGTGAAGAGTGTTAGGGAAATGTTGGCAGACACTACTGAGGTTAGGGAAACACCAATGTGACCTCCCAGCCTCATGCCTTTCCTCCTGGCTTGTTGAGGCATGTTTTCTTTTTCTTTCTTTTTTTTTTTTAAGGCATTTCTAGAAATATTTCTCTTCTACCTTAGTATTTCACATTTGTCATCTAAACAATTGCTCACCCATCTGTTGCCTGGAGCTATGGTACATGTGTGTTGCCAATGAAATGTGACAGGGCGTTCCATGTACACCCGTTTTAGACATTTGGACTTTGGGGGTGGGGGAGAAGCCTGCTGGAAAGGATATGACCCTGTAGAATATACCAGTAGCAAATGAGGAGGGCAGAGCTCTAGGTGAACTTTTAATGGAAAAGATCATAGAGATAAGGTTAATTCTCACCTTATTTTCAGTTAAGCAACTGATTTGACAACCCACCAATGAATCTGTGAGAGCAGGAAAATGTTGCAAGACCAAAAATAAATTCATTAGAAAGACAAGAGCAAAATTCAGAAATGTAAAGGGCTCTTTCGTTTTGGCAGAATCTCATCGTGTTTCTTTCCTCTTAAGTCTATCCCTCTTGCACGGTTTTTGGCCGAGTCTCATGAATCAGGAAGTGTCTTGTTAGTCCCTAAATCATGAGCAACATTTCAGAACACAAAGGATGATTTATGGGCTGGGGTGAGCGTTTGTGGTTTGACCTCATTCTGGGATTAGTCAACCATGATGATAATAAAGACAAACACTTCACACTTGTGGCCTCTGACTTCCATTAAGCATCTCCATTTTGAACATTGTCTCTGGACATCCTATCAAAATTAATGTAGAAGTGAAATTAATGCCATGGCTAAGTTGGGAATCATAAGAATGAGTCAGGGGTAAGGTATGGCTGTGAACATTTCGGTTCAAATTATTTATTTAATGAATCAGTGGAATAAGATTCTCCACCACCCCCACCACCCCTTGGTTGGAATTTTATTTCTAGACTTTTTAAATCTTCAAGTAGAAACTGCTGTGAGTAAGTAGAAATTGATTCTTTCCTGTAATTTAGAGTTTCATTGAGACTTTCCCTTTACCTTACTATTTGCATGAAACTGTGGGTTCATTGCCATAGGTGCTCTGTTTATCCTTCTCAAAGCCCTATCCCATCTTTGTAGTCCTTATCCTTGTATTTTCAAAACTTGTCCACAGATGAGTCACCCAACCTACTAGAGGCCTTGCTCTTCTTGTTTAAGTATTGAGACTTCCCCTAATTCACATCAGCTGACCATCACCATCTATCTCTTTTCTTTTTCCATTCTTGATATTTCCATGACCCATCTTCTTTTCCAAGCACACACAGTCTTTCTGACTTCTGTTGTGCCACTTGAAGCGTCCAAATCACCATTAGGCAAATGCTATGGCCTGCCTGGTTCTATTGGAGATCTTGGTGTTTCCTTTTCAACAAGCTGCCATTTGGATTTTCATGCAATTTGTGACATTGGGAGATTATTGGTATTCAAGAGATGGGCTTTGGAGGTAAGAGGCAGTCTTAGATGACTGAAAACATGACACATTTGATCAAATGTAATACCGCACTCATCGCCTTCTCCTTCTCAAGGCTGGGGCTCACTCCTTTTCCATTACAGGGCCTGTCAAAGATAGATATTTTGGTGAACTGATTGGACAGGCCATCAGTCCAGTCAGTGGTCAGTAAATCACTCAACAAGCATTTATTAAATGCTTACTATATCTCAGTTAGTGTGCTAAGCCCTGGGGGTACAAAGAAAGAAACACACACACACACACACACACACACACACACACAATGATAACATTTCCCTTAAGGAGCTCACAATCTAAGGAGACTTATCACCATCTTTAAGAAAAATGAATGAATGAATGAATGAACAAATGACATGTATTTGTCATTACTTTTACAATTGAGATACCCCCACCCATTATGGGGAGATGACAAATACACAAAAGGACATAGGGTTTCCAAATATTCTACAAGGTTGAAGAAAGGCGTTTTTTTTTTGGAAGATAGATCATGAAATGTGACCCACAAAAGGAAGATAATAGAGACAATATTGCCTTCCATTTATTTATGGATTCATCATCCCTAGAGTCTCAGGTCATAGTACATGGCCCTGCCTGTAGTATGCTTAATTTTATCCTTTCCCAATGGAAGCTCTAATCTGAGCGCTGGTGTGCAAGGTGATTAAAAAAAAATAGACAAGTTTGAAAAGTGGGAATTTTATTTTTGAAACATCAACTAAAATCAGCTAAAATGTAGGGATGAGAAAATGTTTTGTTCCTTTGGAATATGATAATTCTAACTTTCATGGAGAGGACAAATGATTGTCCTCCCAGATTTTTGTTGCAGATCAGCCTTTTACATATGACACTAATATTAGACGGGAGTAGTCAAAACACTCGATGTGTGGCCTCGTTCCAACTAAGAGCTAGGAAATGGTGTCAGCTCCTAAGTTTTTCTTAGATGACAGATTATAGGCCTGCAGTTTACCAAAGTAACTCAAGAGGAAAAAAAAAATCAGATTTTATCATCAGAAGATTTGAGGGTTGTGCTTTCATTTGGATAGAAGGTAGTGCCAGCCTGGCTGTTCCTCCACAATGGCTCATCCAAGCTCTTGGTCAGCATCCTTGCTTGGGAAATCCGGTGAGGTACCTCATTTTCTGCTCTTTTGGACTTCTTTTCCTTTATTCTTATTTGTCACATGATTACAGAGTGTTGATTGAGCTTTCTTTTCTTTGGGAGGTCAGGTTGGAGTCATGTCAAACAGTCAAGAGTATTATGGTACTCTTGGATATGAACCTAGGTTTCAGTAATTCAATTCATTTCTGTGAGTTTTTATTAAGTGCATACTGGTGCCAAGGGCTAGAGATATAGAAACAAAATTGGGGAAAAAACAAAAAACAACAAGAAATCTAGCCCCTGCCCTCAAGGAGCTTATATTTGATATATGTCCTGAGCTTGGAGGAGAGAGAGGATGGGAATCATGAGTAACACTATTGCTCTCGTGCAACACATCTATGGGGCCTTCCTCAGATTTGACCTATAATGGATGGTGATTAATAAGTGCATACTTAACAACACTGTCTCTGACTTTCACCTAGAGAAAGGAATCATCTCAGTAGGCTTGTCCAAGAGGCATGGCCGTGATTGGATGGGAGTCTACCAATCACTTTTTGCCAAGACTTGATTTCCATTCCTTAAGATCTGAGTGAATAGAATGAAACCCTTTCCTCCTTGAGAAGCATGGATGTTGTGTTATGATGAACTTGCATTTCCAAGGCCTCAAGTGCATTGTAATCTATTCCACAGTCTTTTAAGGTAACACTCTAGCTACTTGTAAAAGGGATAACATTCTTTGGAGGTCTTAAGCCATGAAGTTGTTTGGTCCCTTAAAGGTAATCTTCACAGATTTCCTTCATCCCATTTGATTAAGGTGGTTTGAGGATTGTACTGGGATCTTAGCCCTCTCTTAACCCCATCCTCTTGAGCTAGCCTTTGGAATGTGATACTGGAAATCACAACTCTGCTTCCTTGGACGTACATTTATTAAGTGTTTACTCTATGTTGAACACTGGGAATACAAAGAAAGGCAAAAAACATCCTGCCCTCAAGGACCTTCCTTTCTAATGTCATGTTCAGGAGCACAATTTGTTCATAAAGCAGGTATACCAGCATTGGAAATGATAACATAAATCTACAACTTCTTATCTGAGCCTCGGGCAAATGACGCCAAGGATAGAGATGTAAGTATGGCTCATGTTCCTCCCAGAGTCAAAGAGAAATGCCTACATATGGTTCTGTGCCTTCCTTAATAAGAAGTTTTCATATACAGTGCTTTTATTTTTTGAATCTTACGGCATTTTCCCACGGAGCTATGATCTAATTTTAGAAATAAGTTGGATGAGACAACCTCTAAGGTCCATCGCTTCCAACCAAGGGATTTGAGGATTCTAACTTTTCTCTTCTTTTCTGACTCATCTCCAGTTGGCACTGCCTTCAAACACTCTGAGGGTCTTTGCCCCCAACAGGCATTTAATTATCTGAAAATATTTAAATATGCCAGGGGGACTCTTATTTAAAGGAAGCCTGCAGCTAATCCTTTTGTAATATGCTTAATCCTTCCATTGTGCATCTCTTTCATATATATAACTCAACTCAATAAGTATGGAGTAAGGACTCTATAATGTGCAACAGACTAAACTGTAGACCCCTGAACAGTCTGAAGCAACAGCATCAATTTCTTCTACCAGGATCTTGAGCAGATGCCTCATTGTTGTAACCATCTTAGGAGAATAGGCTTGGGCAAGATTCCTCTAATCTTTCCTTCCTTCCTTCCTTCCTTCCTTCCTTCCTTCCTTCCTTCCTTCCTTCCTTCCTTCCTTCCTT